AGGTCACCGAACCCTTACAAGAACTGCAATAAGAAGCAGGTAGCCAAACTTGCATAATAACACTGCTATTTTGTTTGCCAATCCACATCATTCAGTTACTTATTCAATCTATTTCTATTCCTCTGAAGACATTAATGTTTCTGTCATATTTAAAGTAGATAACACCCAATTAGTTCAACAATAGTGTTTGCATATAATGTAAATGAAGATTAAAGGCACCATCTTTAGATTTGACTTATGTTCCAGGATCTCCATGGAAAAACAAAAATGCAAGACCGAAAAAAGATCATCTTTCTGTTACTAGGTAATTGATTTTTTTAAGCTTTCCAAGTAGATAAAATCAACACCTTAAAAGACTTGTCTTTAACCTGGGCTTCCTTTTATTAAAGCGTACAATTGCAGGTGCATGCCTAGAGGAGTAATAGTTTGTTCCTAACAAAAGAGTCTGGATGCCACAATACGCCTCTTGCCAAAGGCATCGTTCCCCAAAGCACACAGCTAACTGCATCTCCTGCTGTACCTGTAACAATTTAATTGTATAAGTCAGCCTAGTCAAGCATCTCCAGCACATGACTGGGAGACATGAAATTCATTGTCATTATTGTCCCTGTCATTTTGGATCATTATATCCTGCTGCAGAATTTTCCTCACTTCAGTGCATTTTTACCTCCAGGAGCCAGGGATTATAGCTGAGGTTGGGGTGGGGGCAGGACCGTGAACTACATTTACCTCAGGGGAGCCAGAGATTAAATTGGCTTTGCTCTTTCACAAGCTGAATTCATCTATTTGTATGCTGTGAGTTTCAGGTTGGAATAAAAATGAATATTCTAGTGAAACCTGGGCTTTAATTCCCCCTTTGAAACATGGATATAACCAATTTTTATTTACATTGGGAAAGCTAATGTAATTTCTTGTAGGTTGCTCTTTTCATATGTGCATAAGGAACACATAAGGGCTGCTCTTTTCATATGTGCATAAGGAACACATAAGGGCATCATCAGGTAGGAAGGAACAGACCTCTCTCTCTGTCCATGCCTGGACTCTCAGAAGAAAGAATTTTAAGGTGTAATTTTGTTCTCTACTTTTACCTTAGAGAAGCTTAATGGGGAACATTTAATGGCTTTAACTACTTAATAATTTTTAATTATATCTCATTTTTTGTGCACTAGCTTGTATGACTGAAATCCAACTAGAATGGCACCAAAGATCTACCCTGGGAACAGGAAGATAGAAGTCAAGTTGACAGAAGAAGACAAAATAAGGCCTTGAGGAGACTGGCTTCCTCTCCACAGCAGGTTCACCCGATCGCACAGCCTGACAAATCACCCAAGACTGCATGCCTTCAACACCGCTTGCTGACTTGGGAGAGCTGGGCCAGTCACACGCTCTCTATCTGTGCCATAGCCAGGGTCAGCTGATGGCTCTCTGGTAGGAGAAGGCAAGGAGCAAATAGGACACACTAGGACATGTCTCAGTCAGAAAACCAGTGAGCCGACTGTATGTTTTCTCTAACAGAATATAAGAAGAAAATATAACCTGGTATGTCACTTCCTATTCCAATTTTCATTTCATATGAACTAAGAAATTTGACATTTACTTGTCTGCACTGGAAAATAAGAAAAGGTAGCTATTCCTCTATATGTGTGAGTTTGTTTTCAGTATTTAACAACAAAATATGGCAACAGATCATACCTAGCCCAAGCACAGAATGGCCACTGTAATTACTATATTTAAAAGTATATGGAATTTATTTTATGACCTTATGGAAATTTGTGGAGGAATATATTTTGCCTCTATCATATGCAATGGTCATCTCTATTTATTTAGGATGAAATATTCTTATGCGCAATGAAGGAAAAAAATTAGATCTTTGTACATTTTGTACTTTAGAGGGAACATTTTCCAGCTAGCTCAACATCTCAGTATTGAAGACACCTTAAAGACTGTCTCAGCCATCAGGCCAAGTGAATGACAATGTTTTCTAGTCTATCTAACTATATTGTCACATGATTACATTTCACTTTTCACTGGTGCTGAAGTAACTAATGTATGACTAATAAGAGTTTTTAGTTCCCAAAACTTCTTGTAGCATTTAAAAGTTCTTTCAATTTCTTGTGCCACTTTTTTATTATAATCAAGATTCTCCCAAGATGAGAGTTATAAAAATTTCTGTTCACTTTAAAATGGTAATTTTATGTTCTGTAAATTTCACCTCAATAAATTATTTTTTAAGTAAAAAAAAAAAGTTATTTCAAGAAGCTTGAAATCATCTGGGTAACTGTTACTACATTCTCATTATGGTTATTTATAAAGAACACTTTTTTTTCTTGTTAAGAAAGGTTTATCTTATAAATTACAACATTTAGACCTTGTTTGCAAAAGTACATGTTCAGGAAGTTACTTTTTCCTCTCTGAAATACTTTGGTAACAGGATGACGATGTTATTTTCTGATCAAGGGGGTAAAGCATTCCTCCCTCCCTCCGAGTACACACTTACTGCATTTAATTCCTTTACCTATGTACTCCCTGTTGTATCTTATTTCCACGTTGATATTTAATTTGCTCATAACACCATTAAGTAAAACATGAGTTGCCCTATCTGTGAATACAGTTGGGAAACCACAGAACTACACTTTGGTTCACATTCTCGTTTCCCCTTACCTCAAGAATAACACAATTGGGCCTGTATCATTTCCAAACAAGGATTAAAAGAACGTTATTTCAAATGACTAGAATATAATTATTGTTACCCTTTCTATTCAAGAAGATTTTACAACAAATTTTCAAATGTCAATATCTGAAATTATTTTAAATAGTCTTTAAAATTTTTCAATAATCTTTGCTTAACTCAATTTTGCAACATATAATAAGCTATAAAAGCCAATTCTAAATTAAAGAAATTCTTAATCACCTTGATTCTAACAGGGTAATGTTTCTTTTGCATATGTGACATAGATTTCCCTTCATTTTTCTATGTAGAATCAGTAAGAATCTATAATTCATAACAATATCAAACCACAAAATTAGATGTTCACTAATAATCTTCTTAAGGAGATAAAGATATGCATAAGCTAAAAAAACAATACAAGTAGTTATCATATGATACATTAGAGAAAATGACCAAGTATTTCAGAGGGTTTGTGCAGGACGGATTTGCAGTAAGAGGCAAAGGGCACAACACTTCCACGTCAGAACAAGCAGGATGCCATTTACGGAATGCCTCTTTACTCCTCCTGCACCAAACCCTCTTCAATATAATCACCCCGTAAACTACAATGGGTCTGTTAGGGTGTGACGCCAAGAAAGTAAATTCACAGCTAAGGCTGTCCTTTAACATATAGGTTCAATCAAGGGCACCATAAATGTAGTTAAGGGTCCCCCCTGCAGTGTTCTAGCTTTGAACGTTTGTCTAAGACCCTTAACGTTTCCCTAATATTGTTGCTCCTAAGACATTTTCTTGAGTTTGTCCCTGCTGCTCCCTCTGCACATATGCTTTTTGTATTTCCACATGAAAGCCAAACAGACAGCTAAATTGATTCAGAAACTGAACACTG